GGCGCCGGGTGATGGTCATGATCGCTGCCTCTCGTGTCTGGGCATTAAGCACTTTGAGGCGGCTTTCGTGGATGAGTCATGCTCCCATTGCGGGAGTATGACCATCTCGGAGCTGTCAGGCTGGACCCTCAAAAAGGGTACCACCTGTATCTTCCGAGGCTCCCCCCGACAATCGGATGTCGATTACTGCATCGGAGGGTGAGCCAGACTTTTCTGGAGAGGAAGATCGTCAGCGCTGCCGCCCTCTGGACGGCCAGCGTTGCCGGATTCGGATCACTGCCAGAAACCGCCCCAGTGGCTCATCCTCCCTCACCACCCTTGATGGGGGTCCAGCGCGGGCATACACGGGAGTTCCCCAGGTGGAGCGGTAGGCCTGTAGACACTCGTCGGCTCTCATCGGCAGTGCTTATACGGCCTGTGGAGAAGCTGCTTCCGCCTTAGACGCTTTGGTGTTGTTGCAAGTGCACCAGGCCAAGGCACTGAGGGACTTACTTGCACGAGGGTGGTCACGACCCGGAAGTTCTCAAGGAACTCTTGCATTTATTAGAGAGCTTTTTCCTACTCCTGTTCTTCCAAAAACCCCTATGGTTGCCTTCATTTTGCTGTCTTTATCAATTTTATTTAGCTTTGAAACGGCATCTCTGTGTACAAAGAAATGAGTGGATGTCATTGACACTGTTTTCAAAATGAAATGCAAAATAATTTTAAACACTTACACAATGTCGGGTTTTAATGCATTTGTTGTGGTCTGAATTTGGGCCATAACTCTTTCAATGATCTGCTTTGCTTTGTTTCTTATCTCCATATCTGTGTTCCGTGAAAAAAAAAAAAATTATAACAGGAATTATTAACGTCTACCCCTGCCATTTACACTGTCAGAAAAAAATGTGCAAAATTTGTACCTTTAAGGTTACAATCGCTTATCATTGGGGCAATACCCTTAAAAAGACATCTTTGTACCTTTTTTGCCCCTAAGAGGTAGTATATTAGAGTTGCAACATGTACCTTAAAGTACTACTTTGAACCTTTTGGGGGTAAATAAGGTACAGAAGATGTCCTTCTAAGGGTACTGCCCCAGTGACAAGGTAAAGGTACAAATTTAGCTAATTTTTTTTCTGACAGTGTACCATCTTGCCAGCATCGGCAGTCAACACATGCATCCTACTTTAAACATAACTATAAACATAAGTGTACATGCATGTTATAGAAAAAAAGAGAGAAAAAAATCAGGAAAATAGCCACTGATGGCGGTCAGCCTTTTTCCTTGGATCACACTTCTGTGTGATACATATCGTAACTACTATTGCTATGAATTTGAAAAGTCTTGAATGAACTTAATGCCATTTCCCATAGTCTGAACAATGTATTTTTACTCTTATGTATTTTTGTACAATTAGTGTCAGAATTGACTTACCTGTAGTCATCAGTGACTGTGCAGTGATATCTGGAGACTCGTTACGTTTTCTTTTAATACCTGTTAGAGAATTCATAATAATCAACAATTTCCTGAATGACAAACTTTACTGGGAGCTAGCAAACAATTATAATAACCAGATTTCATACCATGACTAATGACTGTGGTTTGGGAGGAAAAGCCTAAAAGGAAAAAACATTTCACATTAAAGACTCTTATAATTTCTTTAATCATTTTTAATAATTTCTCCTGTAGATGATGTCCAGACACTAGATGCAGCATTTGAAGATTATACAAATGATGTTCAAGACTGCAAATTTGCAGAAATTTCCACCACCAAGCTAGGTTTTTTGCAATGATCTCTCCACCTTTTTGCTTCTTGCCATAGTCGCCTTGAGCTCTCACAGACAGTATATATTAGGATATCATTTTATCAAATGTTGCTTTAAATGGAACCACTCAATGAGGAGCTTATAAAATTTAAGACATTAGTGCTGCAATATGTTTCTGTAAAGCTGCTTTGAAACAATGTGCATTATAAAAAGCACTATATAAATAAATCTGACTTGATTCCTAATAACATTCAGACTAGAAGATCTGTACTCTGGTAGCTACAACAATTCTTTGTTCTAGTCAAAGCTCAAAAGACATTAAATTCACTCATTATTATAACATTTTACCACCAGTGAATATTCCTGACCGCAGTGGAGAGTTTTGTCTTTCAAGACATCCAAAAGATGTAGAGGGTCTAAAAAAAAAAATAAAATATTACCAACAAACTTGAAAATAAGTTATACATTTTTAAATTTATAGTATGTATTTGCTGATGTTCTCAAAAACTTTCAATAGATCTATTGTCCCAAATAAAGAAACCTGGTTAACGCATAATTGTGACCCTGGACCACAAAACCAGTTCTTGAGATGTTATACATCATCTGAAAGCTGAATAAATAAGCTTTCCATTGATGTATGGTTTGTTATGATATGACAATATACTGAGAATACTGAGAAAATCGCCTTTAAAGTTGTCCAAATGACGTTCTTAGCAATGCATATTACTAATCAAAAATTAAGTTATATATGATATATTTACAGTAGGAAATTTACAAAATATCTTCATGGTACATGTTCTTCACTTAATATCCTAATGATTTTTGGCATAAAAGAACAATCGATAATTTTGACCCATACAATGTTTTTTTTGGCTATTTGTGTGTGTGTGGTGTGGCTACCGTGCTAATGCTGTCCATATCGTTATGTTCTTAACACTGCTTATGATAACATACAGGCTTATGCTCTGATTAAACGGTGGAGTATTTAAACAGGTGTAGATGTGTTGGCCTATCTTGATAACAGATGCATTTTAGGCTAGGCCCACCTGATTTTCTCTGGGCTCACCCACATTGTGATTCCTGGCTACGCTAGTGGTATCCTCTACACAAGGTGTTTCACAGCAGCACCTTGATATCAATTTGATGTCAAATATTAGTTTCCTTTCAGTCGGTCACATTCGACATCACGTCGGAATGTACCGACGAATTGGGATGTCGCCTGAGTGCCCTATCATCTTCGAGTGTAAACTAAACAAGCCAGTGCATATTGGCGTGCAAGATATGTATCTCACACTCCGCCCTGCAGCACGGGTATAAATGCAGGAGCGAGTGCAATGCACATTCAGCTTTTCACTTCGGAGCCGAGCGGTTCTATTGTTCTGCTCTGCCTGTCGTCTGAAGAGTATTCTGACGAGTCAACGAGCGCTCTGGGGAAGATGCTTCTTCAGCACTGGTGTTCGTGTGACAGCGCTGCAGTGGTGGTTTCCCCTGTGCGATCGTTGCCTCACGTGTTTGGGCATTAAGCACGCTGAGGCTGCTTTCATGGATGAGTCATGCTCTCACTGCGGTAGGATGACCATCTCGGCATTGCAGTCAAGACTCCAATACCTCAGGAGAGGTGGAGTCCCCTTACCTATGCCCCGATCTAGTTCTTCTTCTGCACCGCAGAAGAGGGCTACTTCGGTGAATAGACAGGGTGACCTGAGGGTTTCAGTGGGGGTAAACCTGCAGAGTGAATCTTCGTGGGCCCCCATTCCTCTAGCACGCCGCAAGCTGTGGAGCTTCAGGGTGAACGTGCCGGTTCTTCTTATGAGGGACCAGCCGTTTCATTCGGTGCTGCTCCGGATGACCAGATGTCGATTGCGGCATCGGAGGGTGAGCTGGGGCCTCATTTATAAAGCATGCATACGCTCAGATTTGATCTTAGAGTGTGCGTACACTTAAATCCATGCCAGCGCTCAAATTTGTACAACTATGTTTTTGATGTGGAAAAGTGCTTAGCATCATGTCAGGGTCTGAGCAGACGTACGCACTTTTTCTTGTCGGAGTACTGCAGGTTTTTGGAAATGTAAGCTGTTTTTGCAACCCGCTGTTCTAAATTAAAGAATTTTGATGATGACTGTGATATTTCACATATTAATGACATTAGGAGTCGTTTACAAGGCAGAGAGCTGAAACTATTAATTTACGCGCAAGTTCAAGATCATTTGCAATTCATAAATTTCACATCTGAAAGAAACGAGTATGTCCGTTTTCTGCATGTACATTCATTCTATGAATCACATGTACGCATATTTGAGAAATGATCGTAAGATAAAATTTAGGATGGTTTCTGCGCAACATTTTATAAATGAGGCCTCTGGAGTCTGGGGATGAGGACTCGGCTGCGTTGCCCCCTTCGGGGAGAGTAGCGTTGTCGAGCCTGACCCAGAATTGACAGCTATGCTTTCCCGGGCCATTGGGAGCCACTGTGTCCCGAGCTGTCGAGGTTAGACAACTGGTGTCTCGGGGCGGCCCGGGCTGGTTCTCAGCCCCCCGACCCTGTGCCATTCTTCCCGGAAGTGTGTGAGGAGATGACTAGGTCGTGGACGGCACCTTTTTCTGCCCGAAACCCATCTAGCGCCTCCTCCTCCTCCCTCACTACCCTCGATGGCGGGGTGGCCAGGGGATACGCGGCGATGCCCCTGATGGAGCGCGCGGTTGCAATGCAATTGTGTCCGAGGAGCGCTTCCACCTGGAGGGGTAACCCACGTCTCCCATCCGAGGCCTGTAAGTTCTCGTCCGTTCTTACGGCCAAGGCTTACGAAGCCACTGGATAGGCTGCCTCCGCCCAGCACGCCATGGCACTCCTGCAGGTATATCAGGCCAAGGCCCTAAAGGAGTTGCACGAGGATACCTAAAGGAGTTGCACGGACCTCACCTTATGAGCGACGAAAGTCACTGCGCGCTCCCTTGGTCAGACGATGGCCACATTGGTGGTACAGGAACGCCATCTCTGGCTGAACCTGGCGGATATGCGGTAGACCAACAAATATCATTTTCTCGACTCCCCTATCTCCCAGGCTGGCCTATTCGGCGATGCAGTCGAGAGCCTAGCCTCCGTCTGCTTCTGGGCAGCTGAGAACTGTTGGGCAATCAAGCACATCTTGCCCCAGTGGCCTGCTGCTGCTTTCACCCCGTTGCCGGCTGCAGCCGATCCGCATGCTCGTCGCACACAACCCCCCCCCCAGCGCTGGCCTACCCAAACCATCAAAAAAAGAGCAGTTTCCACTGTCTAGAGGGAGCGGATGACACTGTGTCACGCAATGCCTGGCCAGCCTTATTCCCCTCTTCTATCACTATGGGCAGCAGGGCCCGGTTCGAACATGCCATACCTTCTCCCATGCCCCCTACCCAACCACGGAGCCAGGTAGGTGTTGCACCGCACACCCAGCCCTTTCTTCATTGTACCCAAGAAAGGCGGTGGGTTACGACCAATCTTGGACCTGCGAGTTTTGAACCGGGCCCTTCACGTACTTGCGTACTTTCATGTCTCAATTCTCCCTCGGCACAGGCTGTTTCTCCGCTTTGTGTTAGAGGGACGGGCATATCAGTACAAGGGCTGTTCCTGTCGCCCGGCGTCTTTATGAAGGTTGCGGAGACGGCCCTTGTTCCTATGAGAGAACACGGCGTTCGCATTCTCATTCTCTACGAGGCGTGCCTATACCTTGAAGTGGAACCTGTTAGTTGAATGGTGCTCTTCTCAACGTGAAGACCCCTGGAGATGCCCAATCAGAGCTGTGCTTTCATTCCTCCAGGAGAGGTTGGAGCGAAGGCTGTCTCCCTCCACCCTAAAAGTGTAAGTTGCCGCAATTGCCGCACATCACGATCCTGTAGACGGTGAGTCTTTGGGGAAGCATGACCTGATCATCAGGTTTCTGAGGGGCGCAAAGAGATTAAATCCTCCTCGCCCTAACTCTGTACCCTCTTGGGATCTCCCTCTGGTGCTTGCTGCATTGCAGAGGGCTCCCTTTGAGCCGTTGCAGTCTGCAGAGAACTCTGTTGATAAAGACAGTGCTCTTTACTGTGCTGGCTTCCATCAAGAGGGTAGGGGACCTGCATGCATTTTCGGTCAACGAATCGTGCCTGGAACTTGGGCCGGCCAACTCTGACATTATCCTGAGACCCCGGCCCGGGTATGTGCCCAAGGGTCCCACCACGCCTTTCAGGGTCCAGGTGGTGAACCTACAAGCACTGCCCTCGGGGGAGGCAGACCCGGCCCTAGCTTTGCACTATATGTGGACCGTACACAGAGCTTTAGGACCTAAGAGCAGCTCTTCATCTGTTACGGAGGCCAGCAGAAGGGAAAGACCGTCTCCAAGCAGAGGCTGGCCCACTGGATAGTGGATGCCATCGTCTTGGCATATCAAACCCAAGGCGTGCCGTGCCCACTCGGGTTGAGAGCACACTCGACGAGGAGTGTTGCTTCTTCTTGGGTGTTGGCACACGGTGCCTCGCTGACAGATATATGTAGAGCTGCGGGCTGGGCAACACCAAACATGTTTGCTAGGGTTTATAGCCTTCGTGTAGAGCCAGTGTCCTCTCGTGTACTCGCCTCAAGTAGCCAGTGAACCAGAGAGACTGCTCGGTGTATCACTTGTTGTGCCCTCTCCTCCACGGGCTAGACATGTGCACTTATTCTGCTCTTTAGTTCAGTTCCCCACAAGGCGAACCCTGTTAACTTCCTCCATCATCTTTGGCAGCCGGACGGACGGAACGTCTGGCACTAACCCTACCACTTGTAAGTACGCCTGTTGGTTGACCCCTGTGCTAGGCTAGGTGTCCATATCTTGTGATCCCCACGGCGATCCCATGTGTGTATTCTTCCATGGTACGGTTCCCCTCTTGGTGAGCCAGTGTCTTTCCATTGGCAGACTACATTCTGCCATCCCTGCTGGTGTTGACTCCATCCTAACTGGTACGGAGCCACCTCAGAGACATTCCATTTGTTGTACTGGCCTTTATGCCCAGTCCATATGTGTAATCTCCACATGATACCTCCCTATGGGCAGGATGTGGATTCTGCAGCGTTCCTGGAAAGGGTTCACTTTCCCAGTGTTATCCAATAAGTCTTACTGTATGAGTCTAGAGGAACAACAGTAATAAACTCACTCCACGTAAGCCCTGTCCTATCTTCCACCCCAGTTGCTGCGGGGGAACCAGGTGGCTTACTAGTGGTGCTAGAAGGGGCAGCAATAGTGGTGCTTTGTTAGGGATCTGAATTCGTCGGTACGTTCCAACGTGATGTCGAACGTGACCGACTGAAAGGGAACGTCTTGGTTACGTATGTAACCAACGTTTCCTGAAGGAGGGAATGGAGACGTCACGTCACGTCGCCACAGTTCTTGTATCACCACGGGGTGCCGGGTCACTGGCTCGGCTTCTCAGCGGAAACCTGAATGTGCGTTGCTTCCGCATTTATACCCGCGCTGCGGGGTGGAGTGCGAGATGCATATCTCGCACACCAATATGCATTGGCTCGTTTAGTTTACACTCGAAGATGATAGGGCTCTCAGGCGAGATCCCAATTCATCGGTACGTTCCAACGTGACGTCTCCGTTCCCTCCTTGAGGGAATGGGGGTTACATACGTAACCGAGACGTTATTGATGACGATGCTGTAACATCATTTTAAATTCAGTTTGGATAGCGATTTCTTCCAGTGGTAATTTTGGTGAAAATAAGAAGTTAATCCCACACTGAAATTGGTTTAATGTATATGTGGGCCAATATATTTGATGTTCAATTTACATCAAATAAACGTCATTTCAAGTTTTTGACATCAATAGTTTGCATATTTGACCTGTTTTTTATGTAAATTTGATGTCTTTTCAACATCAATTGCCCAATGGGCCGTGCTTGGACCCTGATGATCGCCGCTTGCGGCTATATTTTTACTTTAAAATTGTATGCAATGAATGTAATGTACATAATGAATTGTGATTATTATTACTACTATTATTAATACTATAACATGAAGTCTAATTACTTACGGTTCAGTCTGCTGTCTGAGTGCTTCCCTCTCTTTAGCCTGCTCAAAAGTGGCTATAACAAGATATGCAAATATTTTATATTATTTAAGTATTTCTTGATTAATAAAGTAGTCAGATTTATAAATTTGCCTCATAATAAAAAAAAATACAATATGCTGTACATGACATACAGGTGCATCTCAATAAATTAGAATGTCGTGGAAAAGTTCATTTATTTCAGTAATTCAACTCAAATTGTCAAACTCGTGTATTAAATAAATTCAATGCACACAGACTGAAGTAGTTTAAGTCTTTGGTTCTTTTAATTGTGATGATTTTGGCTCACATTTAACAAAAACCCACCAATTCACTATCTCAACAAATTAGAATACTTCATAAGAGCACTTTTAGTGAAAAAACATTTTTAGTGAATTGTTGGCCTTCTGGAAAGTATGTTCTCTCCTTAGCCCAGGTAAGACGCCTCTGACGTTGTCTGTGGTTCAGGAGTGGCTTAGCAAGAGGAATACGACAACTGTAGCCAAATTCCTTGACGCGTCTGTGTGTGGTGGCTCTTGATGCCTTGACCCCAGCCTCAGTCCATTCCTTGTGAAGTTCACTCAAATTCTTGAATCGATTTTGCTTGACAATCCTCATAAGGCTGCGGTTCTCTCGGTTGGTTGTGCATCTTTTTCTTCCACACTTTTTCCTTCCACTCAACTTTCTGTTAACATGCTTGGATACAGCACTCTGTGAACAGCCAGCTTCTTTGGCAATGAATGTTTGTGGCTTACCCTCCTTGTGAAGGGTGTCAATGATTGTCTTCTGGACAACTGTCAGATCAGCAGTCTTCCCCATGATTGTGTAGCCTAGTGAACCAAACTGAGAGACCATTTTGAAGGCTCAGGAAACCTTTGCAGGTGTTTTGAGTTGATTAGCTGATTGGCATGTCACCATATTCTAATTTGTTGAGATAGTGAATTGGTGGGTTTTTGTTAAATGTGAGCCAAAATCATCACAATTAAAAGAACCAAAGACTTAAACTACTTCAGTCTGTGTGCACTGAATTTATTTAATACACGAGTTTCACAATTTGAGTTGAATTACTGAAATAAATGAATTTTTCCACGACATTCTAATTTATTGAGATGCACCTGTATATTGTCTGTGAGAAAGCTCGAGGCGACTATGGCAAGAAGCAAAAAGGTGGAGAGATCATTGCAAAAAACCTAGCTTGGTGGTGGAAATTTCTGCAAATTTGCAGTCTTGAACATCATTTGTATAATCTTTAAATGCTGCATCTAGTGTCTGGACATCATCTACAGGAGAAATTATTAAAAATGATTAAAGAAATTATAAGAGTCTTTAATGTGAAATGTTTTTTCCTTTTAGGCTTTTCCTCCCAAACCACAGTCATTAGTCATGGTATGAAATCTGGTTATTATAATTGTTTGCTAGCTCTCAGTAAAGTTTGTCATTCAGGAAATTGTTGATTATTATGAATTCTCTTACAGGTATTAAAAGAAAACGTGACAAGTCTCCAGATATCACTGCACAGCCACTGATGACTACAGGCAAGTCAAATCTGACACTAATTGTACAAAAATACATAGAGTAAAAATACATTGTTCAGACTATGGGAAATGGCATTAAGTTCATTCAAGATTTGGAGACCAGTTTACCCCTGCCTATTAACAAGTGCCTTTTATAACAAGCATTTTATCCACACCTTAAAAAAAATTTGAACTTATGTTTTAAGTTCATAGTTCTTTAGTTTCGTTTTCACTATTGTACCATTTAGGCACATAACCCCATGTTGCTCCAGGGTAAATGTCCCTGTTATATGTATGTATACAACAGACTCTTGCTTTTTCAAATTCATAGCAATAGTAGTTAACTTATGATATGTATCACACAGAAGTGTGATCCATGGAAAACAGCTGACTGCCATCAGTGGATATTTTCCTGATTTTTTTCTGTTTTTTTCTATAACATGCATGTACACTTATGTTTATAGTTATGTTTAAAGTAGGATGCATGTGTTGACGGTACACTGATGGTACAAGATGGTACACTGTCAGAAAAAAAATTTGCAAAATTTGTACCTTTACCTTGTCACTGGGCCAGTACCCTTAAAAGTAGTACTTTAAGGTACATATCGCAACTCTAATATACTACCTCTTAGGGGCAAAAAAGGTACAAAGATGTCTTTTTAAGGGTATTGGCCCAGTGATAAGCGATTGTAACCATAAAGGTACAAATTTTGCACATTTTATTCTGACAGTGTAAATGGCAGGGGTAGACGTTAATAATTCCTGTTATAATTTTTTTTTTTTGTCACGAAACACAGATATGGAGATAAGAAACAAAGCAAAGCAGATCATTGAAAGAGTTATGGCCCAAATTCAGACCACAACAAATGCATTAAAACCCGACATTGTGTAAGTGTTGAAAATTATTTTACATTTCATTTGCATTTCATTTTGAAAACAGTGTCAATGACATCCACTCATTTCTTTTTACACAGAGATGCCGTTTCAAAGCTAAATAAAATTGATAAAGACAGCATAAAGAAGGCAACCATAGGGGTTTTTGGAAGAACAGGAGTAGGAAAAAGCTCTCTAATAAATGCAGTCCTAGGAGAAAAATATTTACTGCCTTCCAGTTATATGTCTGCATGCACATCTGTGATTACACAGGTGGAAGCAAATCTGAGCGACTCCAACTACACAGCAGAGATTGAATTCATTTCTAAAGAGGTTTGCTCAAAAAATATATACCATGATTTTCATTTTAATAAGATTAAATAAGAGTTAGTAACAGAAAATTAAACAAAACATACTTGAAGGATGTACCGTTCTGCTCATAAGTTTACACACCCCTTACAGAATCTACATGTTATGTGCTATATGGTATGCTGTG